TGAACAGACGAAATGTCCTTAACAATGTTTTAAAATTTCAGCACTTTCGTCAGTCAAGTCCGAGAATGCATTGACGGTGTTTCAGAAGATGAAATTAACAAGCGAAAAGACCAACATTATGCATTGTGGTTAAAAGGTCAAGTCGAGCATGATGACATGACATATGCAGTATGGTTTCATGAGTTGCTCCTAGGTCCTATTTCGAAGATAACTACTGCAGCTATGTATTTCACACGTGGCTATGTTTTTCATACTTATAGTCATGGCACTCAACGGGCAACTACAAACTATGGAGTTTGTGTACGAGGTGAAGTAGACTTTTATGGGATCATCAAAGAGATAATTGAAGTGGAATACCCCGGATTAGTCAGAATGAAAACTGTTCTATTCAAATGTGATTGGTTTGATCCTACGGTAGGTCGTGGAGTGCGAATTAACAAATTCGGAGTGGTAGATGTAAACGCATCTCGGCGATACAATAAGTTCGAGCCTTTTATACTTGCATCTCAAGCAGAACAAGTCACCTTTGTTCCATATCCTCGAGTTCGGAATACGGGAATTTCATGGCTGGTGGTTGTCAAAGTTGCTCCAAGGGGTATAATTGATGGTGTAGATCTCCCGCCAATGCAACAAGATGATTGTGTCGACATTACAGCACCGGATGTTGAAGAAAATGTTCTTTTAATTGATCCACGTAATCGACAAGTTGAAGATCTACATGGGGACGAAACTGAAGAAGGTGTTGACGAATTTCAAACAAGCAGTGATGATGATGACAATGATGATGAGGACACCGAGGAAAATGTTGATGAAGACTAATTAAATATGTTCATGCTTTGAACGTTTCAATGTAACATTAATTAAAGCCAATTAATGAAAACTAATTAAATGTTGATGAAAATTTGTTAAAGTGTTGACTTGGACATATGTTGACTTTTACGACGAATTTACGACGATTTTTTTGGAATTCGTCGTAAATTCGTCGTAAAATGCAAACCCTAAACCCTATAGGGTTTAGCTTTCCCAACTTACAGAATGGTTTTTGGGTTTATTTTCCTAAGTATACTGATGTATTATATAAGGGTCTGTAGTATAAGGTTCAGAATCTTGTAGAAATGTGGTTTTATTACGACGAATTTACGACGAATGGGTGTTAACGTCGTAAATCCGTCGTAATGTACCATCGAGATACGACGAATGTGTGTTAACGTCGTAAATCCGTCGTAATATACCATCGAGATTACGACGAAATGTAACCCCTAAATCTTATAATCTATCTTTTCTGGGTTTAGGGGGATTTTGATGAAGAGAATGAAATGTCTTACATCCCATAGTAAAACACTTTCTAACAAAAAAAAAAAATTTCAAATTTGACATACACAAGATGTATGGTTTTGTCTTACATCTTACTAAATTCTTTATTAAGTTATGTAAACATGCTAGAAAGTTATACACACCACATTTATCATGAATAGACATGCTTGTATGTCCTTATGGATGTTTCAATTTTTGAATTTCATCAGTTTTGGTATAATTCGTCGTAAATTCGTCGTAATATTACGACGAATTTACGACGATTTGTGGATACACAGCCGTCTTAAATTTTTATGATTATAGTTACGACGATTTTACGACGAATAATACGATTCGTCGTAAATCGTCGTAATGTTACGACGAATTTACGACGAATAACACGGATCATCGTAAAATCGTCGCAAAGCGCAGATACAGCCACGTGTGTTTGTCTTATTCGCTTTGTTATACGGTGGGACCTTTGCGACGAATTTACGACGGATTCGTCGTAAATTCGTCGTAACTATTACGTCGAATTTACGACGAATATAAATTCTATATATAGGACCTCACCCCTTCCTCATTTCGTCGCTTATCTCTCCTTCCTCTCTCTCTGCTTCGTCCTCTCTTGCATTCCTCCTCTTTTTGACGCAAAAAAAAGGTAATTATTTTTTTTTAATTACTTTAAATTATTTTATTATTAAATAGTTTAGAAATTCAAACGGTTTAGGTCGGGAATTAGTTTAGGCTTGGAATTTGTTAGATTTAGGATCGGAATTTCTTAGATTTAGGATCGTATTAAAAATTAATTGTAATTAATTTGAAAAATAAAATTTTATCGGTTTTGCAGACGATGACTCGACGGAGGACGCATTACATCAATTTCATGGCGGATGGACACTCTTCCCGGGCGTCTGCCTCGGGAAACACCGGGACCGATGTCCCTTCATCTTCTGGAGCCTCCCAGGTTCCGAATACCGCGGAGCCGTCTCCACCACCGCCTCCACCATCGCCTCCACCACCACCTCCACCGCCGGCTGCCGAACCGGTACCCGCTCCTCCTCATCCGTATGCCCAGTTTACGGTTGAGGATTTACTAGCCCTACCGGGACGGGGGGCTTTACGACGTCTGGTTCCCGGAAAAGCGGAACCGGGCTCTTATTGGTTGAAGGCGTACTGGCTGGACCCGCATGCCCAAACCACCGCTGCTAAGTGTTCGGCCGTCCGAAACCGGGTCGATCCGGTGACTGGTGAGAAGTTAGTGACCCCGCACACTTCTGGCCAAATATCTTTTGCGGGAAGACGTCTCATGATGGTAAGTAATTATTATTTTAATTTAATTTTATTTATTGCTATAATTTATTAAATATTTTTCACTAATGTTTACTAATTCGTAGGCCGAGGAGAACGGAGGAGAACTACCTCCAATGACGAAGCTCTTCGAGACCACTCACCGGAAGAGGGACGGGACCTTTGTCGACGCTCGGTCCGAGGAGATCTACAATGCCGCTATGCAGCGGATCGCCGAGCGGGAGACCCAGGCCACACCTGACGGTACTATCCAAGTACCGTTGACCGTCGCTGAGCAAGACCAGATTTTCGAGGAGGTATGATCTATTTCAATTTTTTTAAAAATTTATTATATTTATTACTTAATAAATCATTAACGTTTTTATTTTCTTTTTGTAGGTTGCTCCGAAGAAGAAGGGCCGAACCTTAGGGATGGGCTCTATTAGAGACTGTCCTGCCGCCTCGGCTTCCGGATTCCGCACGCAGGAGGATCCGAGTCAGCTTCGCCAGGAGCTTGCTACGGCCAATGCTGAGATCACCACTCTCAGGCATGAGCAAGTGGCCCAGAAGCAGGAGCTCACCGAGATGCACGGTCTCTTCGACATCATTGCGGAAGCGGTTCCGCAGTTGGCCACCGCAATCCGAGCGAGGCAACAGCGAGCACGAGGGGTCTTTGAGACCGGTGGTACTTCCGGTACTGGACCATCGGACCAGCAGACGCAGGGTCAGTCTTCGGCTCCGGTAGTGCAGACGGGAAACGACGGTCCAGCAGCGACGGGCGGCCAAGACGGAGAGCCTCCTCGTGACGTCGATCTGAACCTCGACGATTACGAAATCACATTGTAGATTAGGTTTTTTTGTAAAAAACAATTTGTATTAAATTTTTTTTTTTTTATAAATTATTTTTGAATTTAAATTGTTTTTTTCTATTTTTAATTTTTTATTATTTTCAAAATTCATTAATTAAATTAAAATCGAATTAAATATTTAATTTATAAATCGACGTAAATTCGTCGTAAATTTACGTCGATCTAACGTCGAATATTTAACGACGAATTTACGTCGAATAAGTTTACGTCGAATTTACGTCGAAAATTTACGACGATTTAACATCGACAATTAAAAAATTAGTTTCCCTTAATTGAAATTGTTCGTCTCCTAATCGTTGTTAAATCGATGTAATTTTACATCGATTTTACGTCGTTTTTATGTTGGAGTTCTTTCGTTGTACTTCCGTTGGAAATTTTACGTCGCATTTACGACGAATAGTTTCCGACGATTTTACGACGATTTTCCGGAGTTGGTAATTTTACGACGATTTTACGACGATTTTGGTTTTACGACGATCGTTTTACGACGAATTTTTTTTCGTCGTTAATTCGACGTAAATGCTGTTTTACGTCGATTTTACGTCGATATATGCCGACGTAAAACCCGATCTTTCTTGTAGTGAAAGTATCACCTAACATATATAAAAAAATATAGATCTACATGAGCTAACAGAAACGAATATAAAGCAAAAATAACAACCGAATAGAAAATTAAACAGCAGAAAAACTATTTTTTTAAGAAGTCACAAGATCATTAATGTAAAACACACGAAATATATAGCTTACATGATCACCAAACATTACAACCGTGCAAGTGAAGGAAAAAAATTGGTTGAAAAATCTTTAAGATTTAAGCAAATCAGATAATTTGTATATATTTTTTTATTAAAAACAATATCTAAGTATATTTATCAAGACTTACGTAAAGATTAATGGAGTAACATAACTATATGATGATTTTCAATTTTTAATATTTTTTATAATTCATATAAATATTATTTTAAAAAAATAAAACAATATTAAGTATCTATTAAGTAAGATTTACTTAAAAAATTATGGAGTAACATAATTATATATGATGATTTTCGATTTTTAATTTTTTTTTATAAAATTTAATTTAAATAAATTTTAGGAGGGGTAAAGGATAATTAACTACTATAAGATTGAATGAGAGAACTTAAAACTAAATTTTTACTTTGCATTTGCATTTACTATATATGATGATAAAATGTATTACTAATAAAGTAGAAATAGAATCTGTTTCAAAAATATTATTCGGAATGAAAAATACAATAATATATGAGAGCAAAATTTAACTCTAATTGAGTACAACAACAAAAGACGACAAAAAAAACTCTATTTCAAATAAAAAAATAGAAGTATATTCATCAAAGTATCTTACTAATTAGCTCCGATAATTTAACATTTTAAGATCCTCTCTGACTTTGACATTTTCTTCTTTTTTTTCTTGTGTTTCCTTGTTTGTCTTTGTTTCTTCATCAATTTTCCTTTTCTTGTTTCCTTTTCACAATTTTGAAAACCTTAACCAATTTCTTTTCATTTTCCCAGCTATGAACAACACAGATCCGAAAATCTCTCTTCTACAAAAAATTCTACAACCTTTCTTCCTTTTTTCTCTCTCTCTCCTCGCTTTTTCCTCTTTACTGGCCAAGTCTTACCTTTGATTCTCTCTGATATCGACTTTTGTAAAAATTCTTAAAAGTATATGAAGACCCAGAGTTTCGGAATCAACAATGGTGATCTCAAAATCTAAAAGATCTCACTTTTTCTTCTTCTTCTAGGTTTTTCTCTTTGAGGTTGATCTTAGGATCTGGGTTTTATGTATTCTCCATAATTGGTTTCGGGAATCAATAAATTTCCCTACTTATACCTTTGTTTCTAGCTAGATTCATAGAAATTTCCAATCCGTTTTTAAATTGCATTGTCGATTCGAAAAAAGCTTGAATTTTTACTACTGTATTGCCCCTTTAGTTCTGGATGCTGATGGCGAGTTTAAGTTTTAGTTCCTGACGAAGAAGAAGGAAGAAGAAGATTCAAATCGTACGAAAAATGGGGTGCATTTGCTCAAAAGGAGTAAGAACTAATGATGATTACATCGAGACTAGCCATGTGAGTATCGCAAAAGACAACCTTAAAACCTCCAAGAAACAAGCTTCTTCCTCGAGAAATAACGACAGTGTAGATCCAGAGGAAACAAGCGTTAATGGAAACGAAGCTACATTGAGGTTAATACCCAGTGATACCAAGAATATCTTCTCCGATGACGATGAGGAGGAGAAAAAGGAGAACTTTGAGATCAAATCTTCTGAATCAGTGTCTCAAAAAGAAACCACTGTGGAGTTACTTGATAATGTAGGACCATTGCAACCTAGAATGAGTAGAATTGGTAGTGTTAGGAATGGAGACAGAACAGCTAAGGTTATTGCTGGTTGGCCTTCTTGGTTGGTTTCAGTTGCTGGTGAAGCTCTCAATGGATGGATTCCTCGTAGTGCAGATTCATTCGAGAAGTTGGAGATGGTGAGAAGGCTTCTTAATCTCTGCTTTTGAATCTTAAATTGATGCTAAAGTTCTGATTTTGTTTGTTTTCAATTGCAGATCGGGCAAGGGACGTATAGTAATGTGTACAGAGCCCGTGATCTCGAAACAAACCGAATCGTTGCACTAAAGAAGGTCCGGTTTGCTAACATGGATCCTGAGAGTGTGCGGTTCATGGCGAGAGAAATCATCATCCTCCGTAAGCTTAACCATCCAAACGTTATGAAACTCGAAGGGCTAATCATTTCAAGGGCTTCAGGAAGTATGTATCTTGTATTTGAATATATGGACCATGATCTCTCAGGCCTTTCTTCAACACCTGGGATTAAGTTCTCTCAGGCACAGGTAAAACAAAGTGTGTTTGTATAGTAAATTGTGAGTGATTGTTATTAATTAGTTTTTTTAACATCTGATATGCTTTCGGTAGATTAAATGCTACATGAAGCAATTGCTGCTTGGGTTAGAACATTGCCATAGCTGCGGTGTGTTGCACCGTGACATCAAGGGATCGAATCTTCTGCTCGACCGTAACAATAATCTCAAAATTGCTGATTTTGGTCTTTCTAACTTTTACCGGGGCCAACGAAAGGAGCCTCTAACTAGCCGTGTTGTGACGTTGTGGTACCGCCCACCTGAACTTCTTCTCGGGTCAACAAACTATGGAGTTACGGTTGATCTATGGAGCACAGGTTGCATACTTGCTGAACTCTTCACTGGAAAGCCTCTTCTCCCTGGAAGAACCGAGGTTTTGTTTACGCCGATATGTTAGATGTTTTATTTTAATGCAGGAAGTGAAATATTTATAGTGGTCTTTTGTTTCTTGTATTGAATAGGTAGAACAAATGCACAAGATCTTTAAACTCTGTGGATCACCTTCTGAGGAGTATTGGAGAAGATCAAGATTGCGACATGCAACTATATTTAAACCTCAGCATCAGTATAAGCGATGTTTAGCTGATTCATTTAAGGATCTTCTTCCTCCTACAGCTTTGGCTCTCCTTGATGTTCTTCTAGCTGTAGAACCAGAAGCACGTGGAACCACTTCTTCTGCCCTCCAAAGTGAGGTTAGCCAATGAACTTCGATACTTTTTCCACCTATACTGAGGATTGCAAATCAGTATCATTGTAGCTTAGACATGTATATTGTTCTTACTTTTTTCAGTTCTTTACGACAAAACCTTTTCCAAGCGAGCCATCAAGTTTACCAAGATATCAGCCAAGGAAAGAATTTGATGTCAAGCTTCGTGAAGAGGAAGCTAGACGGTAAGATTCTTTTGCTGGAAGAGTATTACTTGTTTCACCATTCTCAAGCTTTGTCTTAGTATCCTCTCAGTAACACTTATGTGTCATGAGCAGAAGGAAAGGTACGAGCAGTAAACAGAACGAACCGAAACGATTCTCAAGAGAATCCAAAGCTGTACCGACCCCAAGTGCCAATGCCGAGTTACTGGCATCAATACAGGTATGTATCTCCTGAGTCAGTAGATGCATATGTGTATTGTAGAAGCCTATGCGTCTATCTTATTGCTCTGAATTTTTGTTCTTTCTTTTAAAGAAACGTCTAGGGGAGACTAACCAGACAAGCGTGAGTGAGAAGTTCAATCCTGAGAGAGATTCTGGCTCTGGCTTCCGGATTGAACCACTGAAGGGAGACAATCATCCTAATGGATCAAGCCAACTGAGAACACAAAGATCTTATGTCCAACGTGGGGCAGCTCAATTGTCAAGATTCTCGAACTCAGTAGCACCTTCTAGAGATGGATCACAGTTTGGAAGTGTGAGAGACGCGTTAGTGAATCAACGCTGGCTTGAAGATGGTTCAGGGAATTGCAATCTATCCCAACGGTTGCTTGAGAAACCCAATGGTTTGAGGAAAGATGACCATTCATCCTCTAGCAAAGAATCTATAATGGTAAGAAAAAACCGTGTTTAGCATTGTTGTTGTTCGTGTTCTTCTTATGTTTGTGGCTGATCACAATCTGTTGACAGCGTTATGATGGTGAGAAGAGAGATAGGATTCATTACTCAGGACCGTTGATTCAAGGAGAAGGAAACTTGGATGAAATGTTGAAAGAACATGAAAGACAGATCTTGTTGGCTGTACGCCGAGCTCAAGCTGATAAAGCTAAGAGAGACGATAAGAGACAAGCCCGAGCCTTGCTTCCGAGTAATGGAAGGTGATTTTTGAGAGATTTCTTATTAAAGTTTTAGATTTCTTTAGAGAAAGTGAAATAAAAGCAAACACTTCTACCATACTTACTCGGCCTTTTTTTTTGTTAAGACTTGTATGGTTAAGAAGAAGGGGTTAGGACTTAGGATCTTGTCTTGTATAGTCAATTGCTAACGTTTATCTGATTGATTCATTTAAATAATCTAATAAAATCTCGGTTTTGAGGAATCATTACTGTTTCAAGTTGGTTGTGAAAACGATGTTATTCGTCAACGGGCTCTCAAACAAAAGTTGTGACACATCACAATGATTGTTCTACACGAGTCCTGTGTGGATTCTTAGTTTTTGCTTCGAGATCAAAAAGAGATTGCATTCACTATTTTCTTTACCATCTTTCATCATAATTTTTGCACTAATCACCCTATTCCTTTGTGAAAATTTTCCTTTGATCATCATTATATGTCAAAGAAATTTCTTGATTTTTTCCCCTTTTTTCTCCTGCATGAATCCTGCCGTTGTTTTCAATAACTCGCAAAGTTTAATCATCTACTAAATTCGTTGTGATTTACTCATTTGGAGTCTTAAACCCGAATTGCGGTTTTTTAGAGTGAAAGCAAATCTAAAAACTTGGTGCTGTATCAGTCTCTTGTGCCTTCACTAGTACTTGATTTTGTGATAATAGCAAGTGGAATTGATCTTATATATATATGGGTGTGATCAAATACTTCTTATTATTTTACATGAGGAGTATAAAAATAGCATGAACTTACAAGTTACAATTCAAACTTTGACAAAGATGCTCTTGGAGATGATGACCATCATCAAACGAGTTGTTCACCGGCTTTTTTCTCAGTCTTTCCTTCTGCGACTGGTCCATGTTCTTTTCGATTTTACTGTCTGCAATTCTCTCTCGAGGGCTAAACAAGAGTCTTTCCAAGAAAATGGGAAGCAATTGCCAAGAATATGATTGCTAAGACGATCAAACACCATTGCCAGATTGGGACCTCCATTTTTTGTTTCTTTAGTTATGTTTCTTGGTCACACCAAAGTAAAGGCAGAGAAGAAGAGGAAGAAGGGAGAAGATGCTTGAAAGTTGTTGGTATTGTTGACCAAAAGGCAGAGGTTATGAAGAAATGATACGCAAAGACTTGTGCAAGGTCACCAATTTTATGAATTTCATAGAAGAAACTGAACTCAATAAATAATGTAAATATGACGAGGACAATGATAAAGTTTTGTGGACCTACCAATAATGCCCTCAATTTTACATTGATCGATTTTGAAGCTACTAAATTAAGAGATATTTCTGTTTTCATATCCAAAAAATGTAAGCATGAATACAAAACTCATCAATCTCGTTAAATAATCATTTTGGATTTTTTTTCTCATCGAAGTTCAAGATCAGAATTTATGTGGTTATATTTTGGAATTACCAAATCAAACTAAGCCAAATACATATTTGCTTCTATGTTAGGTTTGGTTTTAGAAGCAATACCGAAATTAGGATATTTGGTTTGGATTTAGGACTCCAGAAATTATGTTTCACTCAGAATCAAATTGGTTTAGTCGGTTCGGGTGTTGTGGGTTTAGAACTTTTGGATTTTATTCATGATCAATTATATTTTGATTTAGTTAGATGTATTTTAGACAACAAATTATAATTGAAAGATAAATAACTGATTGTAACTACGATTGCATTTTCTCATATATTTTTATCAACATTTCAATATCAAATTAATAGTTCTTGTAATGAATTTCGGTTAATTTGATTTGGTTTTACAAAATCTTGGTTTGACTCGGTTCAGTTCAAAGTTAAAAACTTTGTATAATTTATTGAAGTTATTGTATAATATTTTGGTTCGAAAATTTTGGATTATGTTGAAGTTTGAAGCCGTTGATGCCTCAAGTTTTCAAATGTGATGCAGTGAGTTTATGAAGTAGGTTTGGTAATGGGTTTGGCAGAAATTTAGTCGCAAGGGGTTCATGTCTGAGACGCTACGTTTGGTGTTAAAGTCGAAGACAAAAGACTCTTGAGCACTTGGAGGGTTTCTGTTTCAAATCTATATAAGGACCTATCCTCCCTCATTTTCCTGTGTGTTGTTTTACGAGTTGTTCTGTCTTGCTTCTCGTTGAGCTTGGTTTTGAGCTGTGTACACCTTCATTTCGGATTAATACATCGCCTAGACTGATCCGGCCCCGGACGTAGACTTCATCACACCGATGAGTTGAACCGGGTTAACAAATCGTGTCTCGTGTGCTCTGTTTTCTTTCTTTTGCTTGTCCTCTCTGTTTCTTGTGTTCTTCTCTTGAAACAAACAAACAAGTGCGCAAGAGAGAAAGATAAAAGCAATGTTAGATCTGAAGCATTTGGATGGTTAAAACCACAACAAGTGGTATCAGAGCCAGGTTCCTTGAAGAAAGCTTGAACCTTTGGAGAAGAAGAAGAAAGGTGAAGGCTTTGTCGGAGGGAGTCGTAAAGCTTTGAACTTATAAGAAAAGGAGAGACCTTTATCGAAGATCCATCAAGTTTCATCCTTAAAGTCTCAAGCTTTTGTTCAGATTGGTTTCTTAGCTCTAAAGGTATCGTCTTTGTGCTAAAAATCCAAACTTTATTACAAAGACACAACCTTTACACCAAAAGGAGGTATCTTGGAGCTGGTTCGTGATGGCTAAGGAGTTGTTGGCCAGTGCACGCGTAGATGTAGACCGGTTCCATGGCAAAGGGGATTTTTCCTTGTGGAAAACACGTATGATGGCAAACTTCCGCATTTTGGGTCTAAAAGATATCATTTCAGACTTTGACTTGCAAAAGGAGGAGCCTCTTACCCGGAGTGAAGAAAAGCGACCTGTTGAAGGAGATGTAATACCATCATCAGCTCCTTTGGTTAAGATGGTCCCGGATCCGGTGAAGATTGAAAAGTCCAAGAAAGCAATAGGCAATATCATAGCAAGCGTGGGGAACCATGTTCTCAGAAAGATAAAGCATTGTGTTACAGCAGCAGAGATGTGGACACTTCTGGACAAGCTTTATATGGAAAGCACCCTGCCTAACCGAATCCACTTGCAACTGAAGTTCTATACGTTCAAGTCAGATGAAAAGAAGAATATTGATGCGAACGTGGATGATTACCTGAAGATTATTGCAGAGATGAACAGTCTTGACATAAAGGTCACAAACGAGGTTCAAGCAATCTTGTTTTTGACATCTTTGCCTCCAAATTATGACCAACTCAAACATACCCTCAAGTATGGGAGAGAGTCCTTGACTTTGGAGGAAGTTGTCTCAGAAACAAGGTCCAGGGAAAGAGACATGATTACTGAAGTTGCGAAGGACAACAGAAACCCTGCAGCGGGCTTGTATACAAGCGAGAGAGGTAGATCAGCTTCAAAGAACAACAACTCAAATGATAAGGGAAGGAGCAGATCAAACTCAAAGTCAAGGGTGACTTGTTGGTTCTGTAAGAAGCAGGGACATCTTAAGAAGGATTGCTATGCTCGGAAGAAAAAGTATGGCAATGATAATCAAGGAGAAGCTGGAGTGGTTATTGAAAGGCAGATAGTTTCAGAGTCACTGAGCATGAAGGAACACAATTCTAAAGATGTGTGAGTTTTGGATTCAGGTTGTACCTTCCATATGACATCAAGAAGAGATTGGTTTGTAGACTGGGAGCATAATGGTGGTACAACAATACTACTTGGAGATGACCACTCTGTACAGTCACAGGGCCAAAGCATAATCATGATTAAAGCCAATGGTGGATCGATCAAGATGTTGAAGAATGTTCGATATGTTCCAGAGTTGAGGATAAATCTGATTTCAACAGGGACTCTGGACAGATTAGGGTACATATATGAAGGTGGAGATGGCAAAGTCCGATACTTCAAAAATGGGAAGACAGCATTATGAGGTGAGCTCCAAAATAGTCTGTATTATCTTGATGGAGAGACGGTAATGCCAGAAACCTGCACGTGGAGAAGAAAATGGTGAATAAAACTGAACTATGACATAGCAGACTCGGACATTTAGGCATAAACAGCTTAAAGGTGTTGACTGGAAAAAGCCTGATCAATAAAGATGACATTAAAGAGCTTGAGTTTTGCGAGCATTGTATAATGGGGAAGGCAAAGAAAGTGAGCTTCAATGTGGGTAGACACGACACCAAAGACATCCTCGGGTATATCCATGCGGATTTGTGGGGATCACCCAATGTTACCCCATCGCTGTCTGGTAAACAATACTTCCTGTCTACTCATGTTCTTAAAGACAAAAGAGAAATCTTTGAGCGGTTCAGAGAATGGAAAGATCTGGTGGAGAAACAGGTGAACAGGAGTGTGAAAATCCTCAGAACAGACAATGGCATAGAGTTTTGTAATCTCAGATTTGATGAGTACTGCAAGACACATGGTATAGAGAGGCATCAAACCTGCACATACATCCCACAGCAGAACGGTGTCTCAAAGTGGATGAACCGAACCATAGTGGAGAAAGTGAGGTGTATGGTGCATGAATCAGGCCTTGGAGAAGAGTTTTGGGCTGAAGCGGCTACAACTGCAGCATATTTGACTAATAGATCACGAGTTCAGCTGTGGATCATAATGTTCCAGAAGAGTTATGGTTAAACAGAAAGCCTGGTTACAAACATCTCAAGAAGTTTGGATCAGTTGCTTATGTTCACCAAGATCAGGGAAAACTGAAACCGCGAGCTCTGAAAGGGATTTTTCTTGGTTATTCCACCGGGTACAAAGGGTTATAAGACATGGTTGATTGATGAGGGCAAGAGTGTGATAAACAGGAATGTTGTCTTTCAAGAAGAGAGAGTGTATAAGGATTTAAAGTCAGAGGAAATGCAAAAGTCGGATCAGACTAATGAAAGAGATCAGTCGTGCAGAAATGGAAAGATTGACCTCGTGACATGCGTAACACAAGAAGAGCATCCACAAGATGTGAGACAATATAGTCCGGTTTCAGGTGGAGTTACTGAGACACCCTCAAGTGACTCATATGAAGAATTTGTAGACGCAAGTGAGGAACAAGCATGTGTTGACTTATCCGGTTACCAATTGGCAAGAGACAGATCCAGGCATGTACCAGTCGCACCAAGCCAGTACCAAGATTTCACTATGGTATCCTTTGCTCTTATGGCTGTAGAAGATTTAGATGTTGACGAACCTCAATGTTACCATGAAGCAGTAAATTCAAAGGAATGAGAACAGTGGGATGCATATATGAATGAGGAAATGGGATCACTGTCAAAGACCAACACTTGGGATATAGTCAACCGTCCTAAAGGCAATAAAGTAATCGGCTGCAGGTGGCTATACAAGAAGAAGCCAGGGATTCCGGGAGTAGAACCAGCAAGATTCAAGTCCAGACTTGTTGCTAGAGGTTTTACACAAAGGGAGGGAATCGATTATCAAGAAGTGTTTGCGCCTGTTTTTAAACACGTCTCCATCCGAGTTCTGATGTCTACAGTTGTAAATGATGATCTCGAGCTCGAACAGATGGATGTTAAAACGGCATTTCTCCATGGGAAATTAGAGCAAGAACTTTATATGGAGCAACCAGAGGGTTTTGAAATCAACAAGGGGAAAGACCAAGTTTGCCGTCTTGAAAGGACTCTGTATGGTCTGAAGCAATCCCCAAAATTATGGAATCAACGGTTTCATCAGTTTATGGAAGCACAAGGGTTCACAAGGAGTCAGTTGGATTCATGTGTTTATGTAAAGAAAGTTGATCCATGATGGGTTTACTTGTTGTTATATGTTGACGAAATTCTCCTAGCAACAAAGGAGATGTCCGATATCATAAAACTCAAAGAAGTGTTAAGCTCTGAGTTTGAGATAAAGGACATGGGTCCAGCAAGCAGAATTCTGGGAATAGACATCAAAAGGGACCGAGAAAAGGGAATTCTGTATATTTTCAATCAAGGTATCTTGGAAAAGTTGTTAAGAAGTTCAATATATCAGAAGCAAAGCTTGTGAACACACCAATGGGAGGACACTTCAAGTTGGCTGCTGTTAAGGAGGATTCAGAGTGCATTGATACTCTTAAGTTCCCTTATGCAAGTGCTGTGGGGAGTCTAATGTATGCACTTGTCAGAACAAGGCCAGACATGGCTTATGCAATCGGTCTTATCAGTAGATTCATGAGCAAACCAGGAAAGATGCACTGTGAAGCAGTTAAATGGCTGCTCAGGTATGTAAAGGTTCGGCTGATTTGAATCTGGTGTTCACAAAGTCAACAAATATGAAGATACAAGGTTACTGTGACTTGGATTTTGCTGGAGACTTGGACAGAAGAAGGTCAATCAGTGGGTATGTGTTCACAGTGGGGAGAAATGCAGTGAGTTAGAAGTCAAGCTTACAACAGGTTATAGCACTTTCTACCACCGAGGCTGAATACATTGCTTTGACTGAGGCTGTAAAGGAAGCGATTTGGATCAAAGGGTTGTTAAAGGATATAGGTTTTGAGCAAAAGCAAGCAATCGTATGGTGTGACTCGCAGTCTGCAATATGCTTGTCCAAAAACAATACTTATCATGAGAGGACAAAGCATATTTTCGTCAAGTATCATTTCATCATAGACGTTATTGAAGAAAAGGAAGTTGAAGTGGAAAAGATTCACACATCAAAGAATCAGGCTGATATTTTGACAAAGACCGTTCCTGTTAACAAGTTTGTTGCAGCTTAAGACTCCCTAAAGGTGATCAACTGATGAATAGAAGCATGTTGCTCGGAGGTAAGGTCCTAAGTAAGTGTGATGTATGGTAAAGTATGAAGGAAACTTGATGCAAGGTGGAGTATGTTGAAGCTTGGAGCCGTTGATGCCTCAAGTTTTCAAATGTGATGCAGTGGGTTTATGAAGTGGGCTTGGTAATGGGTTTGGCAGAAATTTAGTCGCAATGGGTTCATGTCTGAGACGCTGCATTTGATGTTAAAGTCGAAGACAAAAGACTCTTGAGCACTTGGAGGGTTTCTGTTTCAAATCTATATAAGGACCTATCCTCCCTCATTTTCATGTGTGTTGTTTTACAATTTGTTGTATCTTGCTTCTTGTTGATCTTGGTTTTCAGCTGTGTACACCTTCATTTCGGATAAATACATCGCCTAGACTGATCCGGCCCCGGATGTAGACTTCATCACACCGATGAGTCAAACCGGGTTAACAAATCGTGTTTCGTGTGCTCTGTTTTCTTTCTTTTGCTTGTCCTCTCTGTTTCTCATGTTCTTCTCTTGAAACAAACAAACGAGTGCGCGAGAGAGAGAGATAAAAGCAACGTTAGATCTGAAGCATTTGGGTGGTTAAACCCACAACATATTAGGTTAAGAATTTTTGATTTGGATCCGAATTTCTTTTGTTTTGGTTCGAGAATTTAACAGAATCCTATAGAAGAATATGTAGCTCAAGCATCGGCTCACCAAACAAATCCTGGAAATAACATCAGAAGAAGCAAACTGGAATGAAAAAAACCACAATCAGGATGGCTTAAGTGCAACTATGATGGTTCTTTTGTTCATCATCAAAACATGGCAAAAACATGTTGGATTGTCAGGGATGAAAAAAGCACATTCCGAAGTGCAGGACAGGCTATTGGGAGAAGATGTAATACAGCTCTAGAGAGTGAATTCCAAGCACTCATAATCTCAATGCAACATTGTTGGAGCAGAGGGTATGACCACATAATCTTTGAAGGAGACAATCAAAGTTTGGTGGATATAATAAGAGGTGATAAACTGAGTTTCACAAATTACAATTGGCTACGAGAAGTCAGATTTTGGACAAAGAAGTTCAAGCACATTTCCTTTGAATGGGTAAAGAGATCGGGAAACAAACCTGCAGATACACTTGCAAAGCAATCTATTCTTAATACTTCCATCTATCATAGTTTCTCTTATGTTCCTTTATGTGTTGTAAATGTTCTACACTCTGACTATGTATCATCCGTTTAATATTAATAAACTAGATGTTAAAAAAAAAAACAGAGTGCTATGTTTTGGATTTATTTGTTTAGGAAGAAAGAATAAACAAACCCAAAAATATAAACGTTAACCAAAGTGGGCAAAAAAAGCAAACCACAATAGATTGACAAAACCATAAGCTAAACCGAATAGGACCAAACGTAACGGAGAATATTCTCTAGACCCGTATCCGTATCCGATCTTTGTAGAGCCCTAATTTGCATTTCTCCGCACGCTCCTTTATTAGAGTTTTTTCGCCGCCGCATTTACCTTTCTCTCTCGCTTTGCTCTCACGGAAAATTCTCGTAAGCTCTCGTAAGATCGATCTATCTACTTCTCCGTATCGCTTCGAATCTTTCTATCTTCCGAATTTCGTCTCACTGTTTTCTTTGGGTGTCTTCTTTGGTGCTAGATCTGAACTCAGAATCCTCGGAGTTCGTAGCTTTTTTTTTCCATCTGAGCAATGGCTTTGGTGAGTACTTACTGTTTCTCTAACACGCAATTGTCATTACTAAGTTCGTTTCTTCAGTTTATTGCGTTTTGTTTAATTTGTACGGTTGCTGATAAAATCCGCGACGAAGCAGAAAAATCGCTTTGAGCATTCTTTGTTCATTGATCTTCATTTATCGGAGAATTGTTTATATATCAATTTGGTATCAGTTTCTCTATCTAAGACGCTGGTCATAGTTTATTGTTCTGATTTGTGATCATCATCTTCTTTGTTGACCCTGTACATTCCTTCTCCAGTTGTCCGATCATGCATAATAAAACTAATTTGCTGAATATAACTATGTAAACTCTCCTGAGTTACTATAACATTCTCTGTTCATTGATCCTCATGTATGTTCCTGGTGGATTTTTTGTATATCAGTTTGGTATCAGATTCTGTATCTCGACGCTGGTGCTAATTTCTTGTTCGGATATGTGTTCATCTTCTTCCTTTTGAACTGGATTTCGATACATTCTTTCGCAAATGTACGATCATGCACTGGAAAAACTGATTTGTTGAATATAACTATGCAACGTTATCTGTTCATAATAGTTTTCGAATTTGGATTCATATAATCTTCATACATGTTTCAGCCAGGAACATGTTTTATTTTCCACTGATCTAGGTTCTTGGAGGATTGTGTATACATCATCAATTGGTTTCAGTTTCTGTTCATTTTACGTTGTAATTGTATCTCGACGTTGTGTGCTATTGTTTTGCTCTGAATTTTTGTGTTTCCTCTGTAAATATTTGATCATGCATAGAAAAACTTATTTGTTGTATATATCTATGAACTTTTGCTGAGTTTCATTGATGAATTTTGTGGGATCTTACTATTTCAGGTTTTACACACGTACAAGGGTAACAAAGGTGCCTATAAGGCACTCATTGCTGCTGAGTATGTTGGTGTGAAGATCGAGGAGCCCTCGAACTTTCAGATGGGCGTCACTAACAAATCCCCAGAGTTCCTTAAGATGAACCCCATTGGAAAGGTGTTGAATCTCTTTCGATAAGTTAAAATGGTGATATTTTATGATTTGTGTTTGCTGCAATTTCTTAGCTAATAAATGGTTATTATTCTACTAGGTTCCTGTGCTTGAGACTCCTGAAGGTCCCATATTTGAGAGCAATGCCATTGCTCGATACGGTATTATTTCAGCTCCTTCTCTCTTTTGTTTCTGCACTCTATGATTTATTGCTACTGATTTTTGGATATAATGATTTTTTTTTTCTATCCCACTATAGTCAGCCGCTTGAATGGTGAAAACTCATTGAATGGATCTTCCCTCATTGACTATGTAAGCTACTGTTTATCCCCTTGGCAATTTGATTATTTGTCTTATTATTTTTTTGCAGCGTTTTGTTGATCTTTTGTTACTATTTATTAATATGCTGATATGTTTGTCACTGTTTGTTTATGTCTATGTTATTGAACTTACTTTTCAGGCTCACATTGAGCAATGGATTGATTTTGCCACGTTGGAGATTGATGCTAACATGTTGAGATGGTTCGCTCCTAGAATGGGCTTTGCTCCGTTCTCTGCTCCAGTAAGCTTTCTCTAATTTTAGCGCTAGTTTTGTTTACTCTCTGTGATGCTGAAAGCATGCTACTCCTTGCACTATAATATTATCCAAGTCTGCTTCTTCCTATTTTTAGTGATTATTTTTTTTTTTTTTGTGTGAATGAAGGCTGAGGAAGCTGCAATTGCTGGATTGAATAGAGGACTTGATGCTCTAAATACACATCTCGCCTCCAACACGTATCTTGTTGGACACTCTGTTACACTTGCGGATATTGTCACCATCTGCAACTTGAACTTGGGGTTTGCCACCGTGATGACCAAGAGCTTTACCTCTGCATTCCCTCATGTTGAGAGATACTTCTGGACAATGGTTAACCAACCAAACTTCAAGAAGGTTATCGGTGATGCCAAACAGACCGAAGCTGTCCCTCCAGTTCCTTCCAAGAAAGCTGCACAACCCGCAAAGCCCAAGGAGGAGCCTAAGAAGGCTGCTCCTGTAGCAGAGGCACCAAAGCCTGTTGCTGAGGAGGAAGAAGCACCAAAGCCCAAAGCCAAGAATCCTCTTGATTTGCTACCACCAAGCCCAATGGTTCTCGATGAGTGGAAGAGGCTATACTCTAACACCAAATCCAACTTCCGTGAAGTTGCTATCAAAGGTATGATATATGATGAATCTCTCTTTACTTTTATGAATATACATGAATTTTTTAAGCTTATGGGATCAATTAGTAAGAACAAACCCTATGAAACTCTAGCTTTAACCAACTCAAAGTTCTAATCTGCTAAATTCTGTTCTAGCCTAGATACAGTAGTCCTATAGCTGATCACAATTACATTGTATTATGCTCACTGCCTTCAATGTTTACTCTATATATTGCAGGATTCTGGGACATGTACGACCCAGAGGGATACTCACTATGGTTCTGTGACTACAAGTACAACGACGAGAACACGGTTTCGTTTGTCACACTCAACAAGGTTGGTGGGTTCCTCCAGCGAATGGACTTGGCGCGTAAATATGCTTTTGGAAAGATGCTGATCTGCGGGTCAGAGGGTCCATTCAAGGTGAAAGGTTTGTGGCTGTTCCGTGGACCAGAGATCCCAAAGTTCATAATGGACGAGGTTTACGACATGGAGCTTTACGAGTGGACCAAGGTCGATATCTCAGACGAGGCACAGAAAGAGCGAGTGAGCCAGATGATTGAAGACGCTGAGCCTTTTGAAGGTGAGGCTCTTTTGGACGCTAAATGCTTCAAGTGAGAAAGGCTGCTCTTCTTCACTGTTCTTCATATCGTCATATCTTTCTCTCTATCTCCATAGGAGTTACTACTTTTGTGTTTTTGATATCCTCTTAGAGTCCCTTTACAACCTTTTGAATCGTAGAGTTTTTTGTTTTCTTTCTGGGGTTTTAAGAAACTAGTTGCTGCTCTTATGTTTTTTTTTGTGACAGAATTGTTTACGTACACATTACAACGTCGTTTCCTATTTCTCTCCTTTTTTTCTTCGTTTTGGTTTCAGTCGGTTTTGCTTCCGGTTATAATCGGTTTATTCGAAATTTGTGGCGCTAAATTAAATTATTGGAATGATATGGTTAAGCAAGAATCGGTTAAAAAGGCTAAAATGGAATTAAATTGGAATATTTACCAATTTTTTTAAACATAATTTACTTGGTCATGCTTGGGATGGGAGACTAGGGAGTAAAGTTTTTTTTTTTTATTATTTTGAAAACATGTATTAAACTTGAAATTACGACTTATACAATACCATAAAAAATGTTACTTTATGATTGAAGATTATTAGTATATATTTCAGTCCAGATATCGGCTAAGGTCTTCGACTTTATGATTTTCAGTTTTTGAATGGATAGTAGATAAAGTAAAATTTTTGTTTTGGTTAAAGAGCTAATAAAAAAAAAAAAAAAAAGAGCTAATGTAAAACATAGTATAACAAAAGCTAAAGAGATTGTATTGGCATTAAAACAAGGTGTAGGACACATGTAGCACCTTCCATGTAGGGGGCACTTTCCATGTAGAGCCATGTAGGGGTGCTACGAATTACCAATTCCATCTCTTTAGCTTTTGTTAAAGTTTACACCAGTTTTTCTCTGAGGATTATTTTCTTTGATGGAATCATGAGATCCATCAAATCAAATCCAGAACTGAAACCTGAGTCCAAAGAGGCAAAACGGTTTGAACCCAAATATTTACTGGAAGAGGTTCTGCGAATGCTACCTTCTCTTTGGACAGTAGCATGAGCAAGTCTAGTAGCGTAGAGATCCTGTGGAGTTATCTGCATGCATGCACGGTTGGTTGTTTTATAGTAATATCTTCTGTAACTATAGTTGGCAAGACAACTAGACAAGGTTATTCAAATGAACTACCCTTGGTTAATTTTTTTTTTTTTTTTTTTTTTTTTTTTGACGTCCAACTACCTGAATGTTTGTTGTTGGAGATTGAATTTTTCTATTTATGTTCGGTTTGAATGTGGATTAAATTTTGAATAAAGTTATTTCTTAATATAAACACAACGTGTTTATTTTTCTTCTTAAGGCATATAAATACAAATGTGTTTTTTTTTTTAAATAAGATAATTCACATTTAATACAAACTAGATTTTAATCCCGTACGTCCGCACGGGAATTTTTTATTTTTAATATAGGTTGCATTAATTTTTTTGTTTAGATATAATTTGTTTTTGTTATTTATTTTTTTAAATCAAAAAATTGTTATCATGTTTTAATTTTAAACAGTAAAAATTTGTATATTAGTAGAATAAAAGTATGCGTTAATTAAGTATACATTGATCTAATGTTAATTATAAATTTTGTTATTATGTGAATTTAGATTTACACAAATAATCTATATACATATCTATAAATTTGCTAATCCGTCCGTTTAGTTGTCTTAAATCATTTTTAATATCTTACATGTTTTGACAAACTAAACTGTATAAGATTATAATTATAAATGTATAACCCTATAAATATTTACTAATATTGAATATTTGGACTAATTGATTATGAAAAAACTATAATAAAATATTTATTTATTATTTGTGTTACTACAAAAAATGTATATATATATATATAAACTGGCTAACCTGTTAGTTTAATTGTCTCAAATCATCTTAATATCTTACATGTTTTTATAAATTAACTCGTAGACCTTAAATATATATATATATATATATATATAATTCTAATCAGCTTGATCATATTATTGTATAATATAAATACTTATTAATCTAAAATATTTGATATTTTAGACCGATTGATTATGATAAAATACGATAAAAATATTTATTTACTATGCATTTTTAGAAAAATATAATTTAAATTTAAAATTTTAAATTAAATCGAACCTGTATTCAAGGAATTCTAAAGTATTAAAATTATTATCTAAATTTTTGTAATAAAATTTAATTATATTTTTTGTTAATTTTTTGAATTTAAATTAATTTAAATACAGATTTTTGTAATTAAATTTAATTATCATAAATTTTCAATAATTTGAAATTTAAATTAAAGATGACCTAGATTTTAGGAAACTTAATAATATATAAATTAATAACTAATTTTCGGAAATTAAATATAAATATAAAATAAAATATCATAAAAAAACTTTGAGAGTGTTTGGAAGCAAGTACTAAAAGTGCTTCTGTTTTAATATAATAGATGTGTTTGATTTGTACAAAATGATCCAAAATAAATATCATTCCATTAAATTGAATCATATATTCATATGATTTTAAGTTTGTAACGTACGACTTAATTCTTTTTATAGAAAATACTGAATCCTAAACCCTAAACCCTAAACCCGATGTATATATATATATATTTGTAAATTAAGCATATGTTTGTTTAAAATCTAAACCAAAAATCTATCAAATCATCCATATATATTATCTTAGCTAGGTTCCAATTTTTTTAAACTATTATTTATAAACCAAAAATCTGTACCGGATCCAAAAATTAAAATCTTTATTGAACTTTGTTAGCAATATTCAACCATGAAATGACATTATACCATTTATTTATTACCTTAAAAACGATATTTGCGCGGAAAAATCATTTAGCAATACAATTATTAACACACATAAATTAGGGAAATACAAATGGTGCCCATGACATTTTACAATTTATTTAATACTTTGAAAACGATATTTGCGCGGAATAGTAATAGTTGCCGCAAACGCCAACCACGCATAAGAATCATATCTTCTTAGTGACTGTGACTTTAAGACCATCTTTGATACGTAGAACGATAGAAGGGACTGCTTCGATCTTGTGACCATCAATGACCTTAAAATCATAGTTTTTTATGATCTCCAAAGCTACTATCTTCATCTGCAAGAGAGCTAGATGTTTACCCAAGCAAAGTCTTGGACCAGAGTTAAAAGCCATGTACTTGTGCGAAGGTTCATGTTTTAACCCTCCATTGTCTGTAATCCATCTTTCTGGTTTGAAATCCAATGCGTCATCTCCCCATACTGATCTCATCCTCCCCAATGCGTAAATACAGATCACGATCTTCGAGTATGCTTTAACTTTGTGCCCGCTTGGAAGCACATCTGTCTTTGCAGGAGACTTGTGGTTGAAGGGAAGTGGTGGGTAGAGTCTCATTGCTTCGAACAATGCAGCATGTAGATACACGAGCTTCTCTAGATCTGTAGGATCAAACTTTGTGTTGATCTCATGTCGGATCTTGGTCATAACTTGAGGATGCTCACAGAGAAGCCAGAAGAACCAAGTGAGAGCTGCGCTTGTGGTGTCCCTTCCTGCTAACAGTAGACTAAAAACAACGTCTCTTATAAACGTATCATTACTCGGTTTCAAGAGCTTATATTTGGTCGTGTCAACGTTCATATAATACGTTAAGGCGTCCATTGATGGCTCTTTTCTCCCGCGACTTATCTCCTCTTTTCGTTTTGAGGATATGATCTTCGCAAACATACGATTGACAGTCGCCAAAGAAGTCCGCATCTTCTTCTCAAGCCCAATACCAATCCAGTTTTGAAGTCTCCACAAGGCCACCGGTTTGAAATGTCTATAGTAGATCGCTTCTTCACCGGTTTCCGCAGCTTCACCGAACTCAACTTCCGGCATGTCGATGGATAGTGACATCGGATCATAACCAGTCATCAAAATCGAAGAAGTATCAAACATGAACCTCTTGAATACATCTTGTAAGTCTATGGTAAGGTTTTCACGTGCAGCATTATCAAGAAAAGGAACAAGACCTTCCTTTAACTTACTTGTATTGCTACTTACTGAGAGATTCATGAAATCTTGATGGTGAAAGATGGTGTTATTTGACTTCCTCAGTTCCTCCCACAACTCCGAATCAGCAGTCAAGATTCCATCTCCCAATACATCAAAGATCTTCTTGAACTCAGGTCCTTTCGGGTAGTTCCCAAAGTTTGAGTTTAGTATGTGATGGATATTCTTTGGATCTGCGGTGAATAGCATGTCCGTTCCACTGAACCATGGGCCTTTGAAAAGAAAAGTTAGATTGGTGGCCTCAAGCACCTCGACGGTCCAATCGTAGATACGAGGGATATACGGTAGCATTCCTGGAAGCATCCCGAGGAAAGGCCAGTTCATGTGAACAGGCTGGCCTTGATATTTTTTGTGGAGGAAGAAACATTGGAATGCAAGGCAAAAAAAGAATGCGACGAAGACTTCAAGTAAGCCTATCATCGCCATTTTCAGACAAAAGGATTTATGAGTAATAGATAAAAGGATCCTCGTTGGTTGCTATATATAACCTAAAATCAATTTAATGTAGTACGTTGGTAGGTATAAATGTTGCTGGCTGAACATGACCGGACCGGACCAAACCCTCAGACTCATTTACTTTTTTGTCTTGAATAGAATACCTCAATACCACATGATCTCGTCGGTTATGTATAATTTACAAATCGGCAAACAAAAAAAAGAGCTAAATAATCGGTAGTTTCAATGCATTTACATCGGAGTATCGGACCATATCTCTAATTAAATTCAAGCTTTTGATCAGTTGCGAGGGTAACAGTTGTGCAATTAAATAATTTGGTAGTTAAAAAAATGTGTAGAACGGTCTAAAATGTAATATTAATGCGATCGAATAGGATACTCGAAATTTAAAAAAAAAAATCTATATTTTTGGAGCGTTCCACTCTTTCATCATGTGTACTAGATAGTAGTCTGCACTATACACAGATTGTTGCATAATATTGCTTAGTATAGAATCCATTAGGAGCTCAATATGTATGTGAATTTATCTACCGTAACCAGAAGAGCTCGTACCTATCTCTCAAACCCTAATAACTCCTCACATAGTTGTAGCTAGCTCTCCAAATCGGAAGCCCCATTGATATTGGATTGAAGAAAACTTCCGCTATCTACTCGCCATTTATGAGCCCAGTTCGGAATAAAGTTTATGGTGATAAATTGCACGGTTTCTTCAATCCTAGATTATTGGGGCTTTCGCTTTATATTGGCAGAGAGTTTACGTAACAAAGTTATATGTCCGCATACCTGTTTGAAAATACTTTCATGCTGGTCGGTAGGCCGCCTGTCGGGTCGGGTCAGGTTTTTTGGGGTTTTTAGATATCCAATGTTGGAGTGGTTACTGGTTAGGAGTTAGGATCCTGAGAGCACTCTCTTCAGTTTAGAACCTCAAAAAGGTTCTGAACAATATAAAATCAATATCTTATTAGTATTTTTTGTTTTTTTTTTATAAAACCTATTATTTATTTATTTGATTGTAAAAAATCATCATACAAATTGTTATACAAATTGTTAGTCAATATGGTGGATACATACTACCCGAGTAAAATACATCATTAAGCGGTCCCTTTCTAACTAACAAATGAGTGGTAATATTTGCCATTCTTTTTATATGCGTGAAGGTAACACATTTGAATTTCGTTGCCCATATTTTGATATCATCCAATATGGTGATCATTAAAATGTCTGATGTTGATCTTTGAATCATACCAACTAATAATTCAAAGCATACTGAATCATATCCCTAAAACAATGAGTGGGGCGGACAAGAGTGATTTTCCTTCAGCTTCTACACTGGAGTTTGCATACCCGACGTTAGATTATCCCCAATACTTAGCATTTCCAAGATGATCCCTTAATATCCATCCATTTGATTCCCTCTTTGCTAGTGGATTATAGGCAGTATCATAATTGCATTTTAAAGTTGTTAGAAATCGACGAGTCCAAGATGGATGTACATCCGAAGATTGTTGTGAAGCTATTTGATTAGGAATAGACGTCCCCTGCTCCTTTGTGGTGCATGAAATCGTTTACATGCCAATGCATAGTCCACATCTCGAATCGGGCATTTCTATTGAAAATAAGCTCATTCCGTGATTTCCATATTCGCCACATAATCCAAAACAGCAATAGTTTTTGGTCGTCTGATAGCTTCGTATTACTTTGAATGTCCATGATTCTTTTTATGTTCTCTTCTACATCATCCGAAGGAGAGAAAAGGAATACATATGGTAATTTAGATAACCTCCATGTAGATACAGATAACAGACAAGTAAAGAGTATGTGATTTATGGTTTCTGGGGCCATACAACACCGTTGGCATGTTCATCGTTGCAAATGCCTCTTGTGGTTAGTCTTGACGCGGTTCCAATAGCTTTAGATAATATACGCCATAGATAATGTTTAATCTTTGGCTAGTTTCCAAACTCTGTTCTTCAAAATTGGATCACCATGAGGAATCAGAGGTGCCTCATTCTCAAAATCATCAATATGTCGAGATAACCAAAATCCTGACTTAACTGTATAGATGTCAGATTTCGTATAATTCCACTTAATCTTATATGGAAAAGGCTGTTGTCCCAAATGTAATGTCTTCACTATTTCTTTATCCTCATTTGTTACATTCTGTATTAGAGCCCCCTCATTCCATTGCCTCGTTGAACTGATAAGTTCACTGACGTATTGAAGATTATTATATTCAAGCGAATGTGCCGGTCTAGGAGGATGTGTATGGAGCCAATTATCTTGGAAAATCCGAGTGCTTTTTCCATCACCAATAATAAAATGACTCTCTTTCTTTAAGAGGGCGATGCCTTCAAAGAAAGAGGACCATCCATATGATTGATAAGGGCGCTCTTTTGCTTTAGAGCATCTCCAATGCTGATACTCTCATTGGGGTTCATAGACTTTTTTTAATAATTATTTTTTGTTTTTGAACAGTGATGAACCCCAACCAAATTTTCACCCTCCAACCCTAAACCTCTGTTTGGAGTTCATCAGAATAAAACATTATCATTGATCAAAAATCTTGGTTTAACTTCAATCTGATTCAATGTTGTTAAGGTTATAACAAATGCATATACATAGCCGCAGGGAGTGGCTCTGAGACAGCAAGAGTGTAGCAACCAGGAGCAAACTTCCAAGCTTCGTACTCCTCTACTTCATTGATCTCGTCATCGGTTTCCACGTCTTCAATATTTGCTTCTTCCAATAGCTTGTTCTTCTCTATCTCTTCGTCTTTCCTAACTTTCTCAACCACTAATTGCTTTGTCTCTGCTTTTCTCATCTCCATTTTCCTCTTTGCTAACTCCTCAAGAGCTTCTTTTTTAGCCTCAAGCCTCTCACGCTCTGCAACCGTATCTCTCTCAGATTTTCGTACAAAAACAGGTTTGATCATCTTAAGCATAAGCAGACATAAGCATAAGCATAAGCATATGTTCCATGTCACAGAGCCATAGAACTCTAGCGATGATCAAACTGAGCTATGATGCAAGTTCCAAAATACTTCTCTGAAGCTCAGCCTTTATATGGTTATTCTTCTCAATTGCACAAGTCGTTCAACACACTAACAATCATATCAACTTTAAAAACACAAATGTACCACGAATCAAGAAAAGAAAATTGAATCAAGCTAACAACATGAGATCTATCAAACACTGCAGGTAAATGGTAGTTCTAGTATCATATCCAATAAGTGACCATTGGTTCCTGGTCAAATAAATCGTTGAAATCACTGCGGTGATATCTTTCTAATCATCATAAGTCAAGAATCAAGAATAAAACAAAGGAGTCGTCACAGAGGAATCAATGGAAGAAGAAGAAGAAGCTTACATCTGAACAATCCATGGCTGGTACAATGACAAGAGGCATAAACAAAAGTGAACCAGCAAGTGACAAGTAACGTTGCAAACCGTAATAGATAAGTGGAACTGCATTTCACAAAAAAAAAAAATCAAATTCAGAGCTCTCACCGAACTTGGTACGAGTGCTCGTGCTGGTTTCGCTGGAGTAATCAGAGACAAACCCAGTTTTCTATCAAACCGAAAAACTGATTTTATCCCCAATTTACGAAACCTTAATTGCAAACTCAATAAATAACCACTGGTTTAAATCATAAAAAAAACGTTCGATAGTGTGCTAATTCCATCCGATGAACTCGACAAAACTATAATCCTCAACTAAAACAAAAGATCAACTTACCTTGCTTAATCGGTCGGCGAAAACAGTCTCTTTCACCGGCGTCGTCGATTTCGACCAAATGTTTTCGACGAAAAGACTAAACCTGAAGAAATTTTTTTCTTCGCCTAAACCCGATCAGGTCTCGATGATTTTGGGTTTACGCAGTGGAAATCGTCGGTGTCGAAGAAAAAACAAAGTATTGAGAAATGAGAGAAGTCGATATGGTTGAAGAAGTTTGCTGAAAAATTTGCCCGACAACGAATAAGAGGGAGCCACATGTCTATGAACCCCTCAAAAAACAGTCTCAAAAGTCCGTCCTGAAGGGGTGGTTCATCAAATTTATGGGCTTCACCTATTTTTTTTTAATTATTAATGGGTTATGAACCCCACTTATGAATCCCATTGAACCCTGTATTGGACCTGCTCTTAAAATAACGAGCTTTATGAAGTCTTGAGAAAAGACAATTTGTTTTTTCAAGTAATCTCTGATCGCTAACAAAAGCGGGGTTGTTGTTTTTGTTTTACTAAGCTTCAGGTTTTAAATTTATAATTCCTAAATGTCTGCAAGTGCACAGATGTGCGCTGTAGTACTTAGGGTATCGATTCACAAAGACTTAATTGTTTCAGTACGAATTCACGGCAACGCTTAAATCAGATTAGAACTAAATAATTTGGGTTTTGGTTTTGGGTTTTGGTTATCACTAAATCTGAACTAGAAAGCTAAACAAGTAAAAGCAAACTAAAATAAAAGCAAACAGAAGCAAGTAGTAAGCGATTAAACAAGAGGTGAATGGAAGCAAGGAACAAGCGAATGAAAAGCAAATAAAATCGAAGGTTGTAAGCAATGAAAGACAAACGTTGGGCATCAAGGGTAATTCGCAGGGGCTCATGGACTAAGCTATGTCGATTTTAAACATATGATAAAGGTAATCAACTACGTATGTTCTAGAACTCGAGGCAGGGAAGTATGAATAGCCTACTTTCGCAGCACTAAACAACTATCTCTCGCAACCTTGATCAGTAGGTTTCCACTCTGATCCTGGAAGGGAGAAGATGCAATAACAGGACAAGACTCATCAACATTCACAATTCAAATACAGGTAGGTTTCCACTCCTATAAAATCATTGCTCGTTTCACCCTAGTTCATACAATCAATGAAAGCTTTCACAACATATCATGTCAGATCGGCTTCTAAGTGGCTAGCAAAGAATCACGCAGTAAGATTAAAGACAAACGAAGAACATCTAGAAGATTAATAATCCTAAATCTA